TTAGTTTTAGTTCACTGAGGGTGTGTGTTGGGTTTACCTGTTAACACCCCAAACTGTATATAAATAAATATATAAATAAATAAATAAATATATATGAGCAGTAGTCATTGCCAAAGCCAACGATCAGTTGGGCACAAAATACAATTAATTGTTAATTGGGAAATTGGCAAATTTTTTTAGGCTTAAGTTGACTCTTTCAACGATAAAATCAAGCTTTCGGCATTCTCTATGGAGCCTTCATCAGGATTCTGAAAACACAATTGTGATGCTAGCAAAGAAAACAGGACAGATTTAAATTGTCAGACAACTTACTCGATAGGGATGGGCAGAAATTACCGATTAATTGAATAATCTGATTTTTAAATTCGATTAACCGGCTTAGTCCCAGTGGAGCAAACCCGGCCAACTGTTGAAATATACTGTCCTAAGCTTTATAAGACTTTCCGTAGTGGATTTTACCCGAAATTGTTGCACATAACTTGCAAATGCAAATGAAATTTTCAAAATTAACGCCATGACGTCTCAAATGGCTTCATCGGTGCCCCGGGCTATCAATAAATTTTGACAGCTATCGTTCTTATTACCTACCTGGGCTGCGGGTTGACAACCCACTGGATATTTTCGCTACCTTTAATGTTTACATTGTGCTAAAATCTTATGAATAATTAAGCTTCAAATGGAACATTGATGAATACGAATGGATATACATAGAATTTGAGGCGTAATGATGCTTGCGAAATACTTAAGGTTGATATGAATAATATTACTCACATTGTGAGTGTAAGTATAAACAAAACGACTGGGGTGGTGGTGTTCTCATTTTAAGCAAATTTGTATTTCTATGAATCGTTATCACTTTTTATATCCCATATATCTCATGTCCAGAATTTGTCATAAACGCAAAACTGAACAGAAATTCATATTGCAAGTTTCTGATTTTCTATGCATGCTAAAACTTGGACTTGAACCGGATCTTTCGGTATTTTTACCGAAATGAAAATATTTACCGAAAACGTCATTTTCCACGACATTTCAAAATAATTCAAATATTTCCAGATTTTTTGCCGAAAAAGAGCTGGCACAAAAAGGAATCTGAAAGTGAATTTCATGTAGTCTCTGTAGTTTTATGCCCCATATCAATCATACATATTATGCATACACACTCAAGCAGTCGGGCACCCGAAGGGCGTAGATTTGGGTTGCCTATTATTACGTACGCACTAACTCCACTTGCCCTGAATTGATTTTTGTGCGTTCAAAAGGTACAGACTGGCAGATCACCATCATTACCGCTTCACCGGGCAAGCAATAAGGAAACCGAAACCTATCTGCTTTTAAAATAAATATTTCATTAAAATGTGAGGTGATGAAAGTTCATATGTGCAGGGATAAAAGAGAAAAGTATACACAATACTATTTATAAGCAAGAATAGAATAAGATGTTTCCAGGATAGTTGCAAAGGAGTTTGAAAGTGCGACCAGTATGCCTATTGTATACTAAGTGACATATAAATCCGAACACCCAGTTTAAATGGTTTTATTTTAATAAAATTTTGTATAAGTACTTAATGAAGCATAATAAGTAAATGATAAAAATCTCAAAACGATTGCACTGCTTTAAAGCCCTTTGACCTTTAATAATGTGTGGATGCACCCTGATGTGCTACGCATTCTGCTTCTAGAGTCTGAGGAGGACGTTACAAATTGAGCAATCTCCTACCCATCATATCCCACACGTGCTCAATTGGGGATAAGTCGGGAGATCTTGGTGGCCATGGTAACAATGTGACATCATTATGTTGAAAGAAGTCTATTGTGACTCTTGCAACATGTGGTCGGGCATTATCTTGTTGGAAAGTTGGATCTGCCAGGGTGTCAAGATAGGGTAAAAGATGGGGTTCTAGAACTTCGTGGATATAACGCTGCGCGTTCATGTTACCTCTGATGAAGATTAAAGGTGACCTGGAACCATAAGCTATAGCACCCCAAACCATAACTCCAACAGTATGATGAACATGTCTTTCAACAAAAAACTGTGGATTCCTCCTTTCACCACGTCGCCTTCTAACCCTGGCACGACCATCGTGCATGCCTAAACAAAATCGAGACTCGTCACTAAAGACAATACTGTTCCATTCCTGATCCCAGAGTGACCGTTGTCTGCACAACTCAAGGCGATTACGTCGGTGTAAGGGTTAGAAGGCGACGTGAAAGGAGGAATCCACAGTTTTTTGTTGAAAGACATGCTCATCACACTGTTGGAGTTATGGTTTGGGGTGCTATAGCTTATGGTTCCAGGTCACCTTTAATCTTCATCAGAGGTAACATGAACGCGCAGCGTTATATCCACGAAGTTTTTGAACCCCATCTTTTACCCTATCTTGACACCCTGGCAGATCCAACTTTCCAACAAGATAATGCCCGACCACATGTTGCAAGAGTCACAATAGACTTCTTTCAACATATCAATTGAGCACGTGTGGGATATGATGGGTAGGAGATTGCTCAATTTGCAACGTCCTCCTCAGACTCTAGAAGCACTTCGAGAGGAGTTGGTGGTTGCCTGGAATGAGATACCACAGGAGGACATTGACCACCTGATCAGAAGCATGCCTAGGCGCGTTGGAGAATGCGTTGCACATCAGGGTGCATCCACACATTATTAAAGGTCAAAGGGCTTTAAAGCAGTGCAATCATTTTGAAATTTTTATCATTTACTTATTATGCTTCATTAAGTACTTATACAAAATTTTATTAAAATAAAACCATTTAAACTGGGTGTTCGGATTTATATGTCACTATATAAGTTGTATTCCCTCAAAAAACATAATGTTGTGTGCGCTCTCAATACAATAATACTACTACTACTACTAACTTTTTTCATAGACGGTCCTGCGTAACGCAAAGGCACTTGATCCTCCACTGATTTTGCGACGGCTCAGATATTTTCTGCTCGAATCCACTTTCCTTCTTTTTGCAGATTTTGCTCATTATTTTCCTATTTTTTTGTTATATACCTTTCTCCGCACGATAATTTTCTCTTTGTAGATCCTTTGGGCTTGAAATACCACAGCAATCGGCTATAATCGGCGGCGTGGTTGTGGTTAGTTGTCGCCTTGAAAATTCGAGGTCTCCTAGCCATTTTATACTACAATGTGTAGCTTGGCTCTTGTTGTGAACTTCGTGTGTAATTTTTTCCCTCTCCATTTTCGTTTCCTCAGGTCACACCCGTATCCGTATGTATGGGCATGTGTATCTACTTTTGTACTTGCTTATGTGCATTCATTTTGGGCCTGATGAAGCCAACCAGCAGAAATACGGATCGCTCGGGTTACCTATCCTATTTTCTGCTCAAATCTACTTTCCTTCTTTTCACGGATCTTGCCTACTATTTTCCTATTTTTTGTTATATACCTGTCCACGCATAATAATTTTCTCTTCGTAGATCCTTTGGGCTTGAAGTACCACAGTAAGTGGCTATAACTGGCCGCGTGATTGTGGTTAGGTAGTTGTCGCCTTGAAAATTCGAGGTCTTCTCGCCATTTTATCTACAATGTGTAGATTGGCTCTTGTTGTCGACTTCGTGTGTCATTTTTTCCCTTCTCCATCTTCGTTTCCTCAGGTTACATCCGTATCCGGATGTATGGGCATGTGTATCTACTTTTGTAGTTGCTTAGGTGCATTCATTTCGGGACTGATGAAGCCTACAAGCAGAAATACGTATTACTCTGGGTACCTATCCTACTTTCTGCTCGAATCCACTTTCCCTTTTTGCGGATTTTGCCCATTATTTTCCTATTTTCTGTTATATACCTTTCTCCGCATGATAATTTTCTATCTCTCTCTCTATATATATATAACCTCTCTCCGCATGATAATTTTCTCTCTCTCTCTGTCTATATATATATAGTACCTATATATATATAATTTTTGCATAAGTACACTCTTACAACTTGAATTCGAGCTTTCGATGGTCTATGCCATCATCGTCTGGAGCTAAAAAACAGTTTTTGAAAACATAGCAACAATTAAGAATTAGGAGGAAAATAATTACTTACTAAGTGGGCGAGATTGTTGCTGAAATTGTGTCAATAAACATTTTGACCGACAGCCCGACGGAAATGATTGACGTGGCTTTTCGTGATGTGCATTCATTCATTCACTTCTTTATTGGTGCTTAACACACTTGCGTGCTTACATATGTCAAAGGAGAAGGTAAAATTCATTCAAAAGTGTAAATTCACAAAACAATAAAATTTGTTGGAAAGACCAACATTAACAGAAAACTGTAAAATGATATTATGAATTTAAAATAAATACAAAAGTATAGAACAAGCTCATCCGAACAAGTTAGCAAACAGAATAAAACTGTACAAGCACACTACAACACATTCTTCGATTGTATAAAAAGCTTTCTTCATAAGGTAAGCTTTAATTCTGTACTTAAATGATGCGACAATTTTTGTGAAAGATTGTTCATGCTGGACACAATCTATGGCCCTAGTAAGATCAAAAAGATAAGCTAAGCAATGAGCCATACTTTCAAAAGCTGCATTTATTTTCTCAATGAAGCTGGCAATAACTAGATAAATATAGTAGACTTACCTGATCTGAAACCGAATTGACTGTCAGTTAATAGGTTGTTGCCTTCAAAAGCATCTTAAGTATCTTACCAAGTGGGGGTATAAGTAAATACAATCTTATTTTCGAAAATTTTCATGATCACACTACGTCCCTGGCAGGGAAGTAAACATTTAAGCTGATGGCCACTTTTGTTCTACGCGTTGAGATCTACGACATACTGAATTAAAAAAAGATAGCCGAAAGCCATTCCTTCTAAGGCTTCTGCGGGGTTTTTTCAGGCCTTTTTATTTGCCAACATAAACTTAGTTTTTACATTTTTCTTGAAATTATAGATATAGATATTCTGACTTAACAAGGCGACTGCCGACTAAGAGCTCCTGTAGTCTACACAATCAACAGTTTTACTTAATTTTCAGGTCAATTCATGATGATAGCACTACCAAATAAAGATACGTCTTGGACTGTTACCCTGTTTATGCCACTCGACAACTTTACCTCTTTACGTGATGAAGACAGCATAATGTACTTTTTTGAAAATATATTCCCCGATGCAGTACCACTGATTGGAAAAAACAGCCTTGTACATACCTTCTTAAGCACGAAACCCTCTCAGCTAATATCTATTAAATGTAGTCCACATCATTTTGGGTCGAAGTTTCTAATCATTGGGGATGCAGCGCACGCTATGGTACCATTTTATGGACAAGGTATGATATAATTGAAGACACAAGTGGATAAAGGTAACATGTAACAAAATCATTTAGGGTCGATTTCACTAACATTAAAATCTAACGGGGTCTTCAACCAATTAGGGAACAGCTTATTGAAATGCAATTTGACGGAAGCTGTCAAAGCTCTCCTAATATCAGTAATTTTTAATGAAATATTGAATAAAATCGAGAATAAGCGGTTGTTTTATAAATAAGGGTACCTACATTCTAGATGTACCTAATACCATGTCTTTGAGCTTTAGAATTAGGATCACTTATAACTAATCATTTCATAAATGACGGGAACTTATTTAAATGGATTAATGAAAATGCAAGAATGAATGATTTTCTAGCTATTATGATTAATAGGATGTTGTCACTGTTTTTGATGACTGTCCATGCATGGCAATCTAGTTTTGTCTCTACAGGGTGACTTTGAAGTTGAGTCATTAATTTTCAGATAATGATTGTAGAAGGAAGATAAACCAAAATATGTGTGTAAAAATAAAAAAAAATTAAAAAAAAAATGTTACCTTGTTTTATAAAGTATCCTCCCGACAAGTATTTCAGTGCGGACCTGTATTTGATCGTGAGGTCTTGGATCACCGGCATGCCGTCACCTGATTCACGAGCCCGTTGTACTACATTAACAAAGGCACGAGGGGTCGGTTGCACTCGATTGGGAAACCGATCCGCATAAATCCGTGATGCCGCGGCAGCATTTTGTAAAGACTCCCCCCCCCCGTAAATAAGAATCAGCATTTTCGTAAACATGTGCTATTTTTTATTTCTTTTGAGCCACGCAACAGACACCACTATTCACTCACGCGTTACCGACTGACACATTGACTGAATACAACTGAATAAAATTGAAGTAAAAACATCGTGAAATTCTTTCGCTTTTTTGTTTCCGATACGATGAACCGATAAGGCGGATTATATCCGTTGTTGCCAAACACGAGCACATAATATTATTATTGAGACAGGGCGGTACTCAAACTTCTAAAGGGCTATAACTTATATACAGGGTGACTTCGAAGTTGAGTCATTTATTTTAACAGTGAGTAGATCTGATCAAAAGAAATGTTTTTTTCCTTTACCATTTTTCTGGTAAAATTAAAGTAACAAAGTTATAGCCCTTTGGAAGTTTGAGTACCGCCCTGTCTCAATAATATCATGTACTCGTGTTTGGCAACAACGGATATAATCCACCTTATCGGTTCATCGCATCGGAAACAAAAAAGCGATAGAATTTGGAACGATGTTTATTTTATTCAGTTCAGTTATACATACAGTCAGTGTCAGTCGCGTGTGAATAGTGTCTGTTGCGTGGCTCAAACGAAATAAAAAATGGCACATGTTTATGCGGATCGGTTTCCCAATCGAGTGCAACCAACCCCTCGTGCCTTTGTTAATGTAGTACAACGGGCTCGTGAATCAGGTGACTTCAGACCTCACAGGGGACCTCACGATCAAATACAGGTCCGCACTGAAATACTTGTCGGGAGGATACTTTATAAAACAAGGTAAAATTTTTTTTTTATTTTTACACACATATTTTGGTTTATCTTCCTTCTACAATCATTATCTGAAAATTAATGACTCAACTTCAAAGTCACCCTGTATATATATATATATATATATAATCGCTGCTAATATAGTGAGGATGTTTGTTCACTTCCTGAACAACGAATAATATTCAACTTTATGTATGTATGGATATCAAAAATCCTGAATGATTTGTGCGAATAGCAATCTAAGGTGCCATAATGGAACTGCTGAACGGCAAGTAAATGAATGAATCTTTGGAAACGGGCAATTTCTATGAAATTTTTGGTAGAGTATTTGTCATCAAGTAGGTGTTGCTATCTGCAAGAGGTTTATAGGCAAAATACACGGTAAGTGATGTTAAATCAGTAAAATTGCATATCAATTGAAGAAAATAATATTATAAACATGAATAAACAATCATCAATAGTAGAAAAACATGTAATTTTATTCAGAAATTAAACACTTATTTAAATTTTGGATTGCCTCGCAGCGAGGCATCCGGTTCGTTAATATGGGTACCGGGGCACGCTGGGAGTCTCCATTACTTTGGACCCTCAGGACGTCAAGGAGCTTGGACTCAAGGCGATTCTCAACTTCGCTAAAAGGGCGAGGCTTGTGATCTAAGGATTGTAGAGGTACATAAGGGCCCGCTTAAGCGGCCTATCCACTGGCTCCTTATGGTGGCCGGAATGCCTCTAATTTCAAGATTCATTCATTCACTCACTCAACTGGCGATGAATTTATAGGGGTGGTAACGTTTCTGCATGCAAACATTGGATGACTGCACGAACTTCGCACCTGGCGATGAACGGTCCCATTGTTCATGGCTGTCAGGCCGGTACTGAGCACCGCCAACAGGCGCTTCTTGTTGGGATCGGTGTTGGGGGAGCCGACAAACACGTCGGTGTTGCCAGATTTTGTCTAGCATCACGCGCGGCAACGCTACAGCGTTGGGAACCTTGTTTTTGAAACAACCATCGTATCTGCGGATTACACTCTAAAAACTTACCCTATATGTTGATTACATGGCATTACAGCATGAATATTGCCCACTGAAGAAAGGCGTATAATTTTTTGCAGGGATGAATTCAGGATTTGAAGATGTAAGTGTCCTAAGTGAGTTGCTGGACAAGAACCATCTGGAAGTTAAAGAAATCATCAAACTCTATAGCGAAATGCGCGTTCAAAATGTCCAGGCTGTTTGCGACTTGGCGATGTACAATTACGTTGAAATGCGCGACTTGGTAATGAGAAAATCCTTCAGAGCACGAAAAGCTGTAGACGAGGTTCTCTACAAACTGTGTCCGAAGATTTGGTTTCCCCTTTACAACTCCGTAAGCTTCTCCAGCTTAGAGTATAGACGCTGCTTAGAAAACAAAAAACTTCAAGACAAGGTAAATATGCAAATACTACTAGACCGCAACAACTATAAGCATTATACGGTGCACTTGCTTGACTTGTAAAACACGAACAACCAATAGTAGCGGACCATCGAGGTGTCGAAAAAGTAACTATTCGTTACCCGAGCACTCGTTACTCATAGGTACCCTAATTAACGAGTATCAATCCGAGCACGAAATGTTTACTTTGATTACTCTGTTTTCCATACCCGGTTTCCGTAAAATTGTTGATCGTTGAGTGGCAACGCTGGATTCTGCCATCTTAGGCATCACTGTAGCACTGCCGCTCATGCATCAGGGTTGCCAGACATCCCACATTAGGGTGGAAACCTGTAAACTCCAGATTTAAAAACAATTATCAAATTCTGTTCGCCAATCTGAAAAATTAAGTGTAGCTATTTACAGCGTGACTCAAATTCGCTCTTATTGTGGTGATATTCGCAACCTGAAAAGGGATAAGGGGTCGATTGGAATGGAGCAAAGTTCGGCAGTATTATGAGTCAGAAAAGCGACAATAGGGTAACGCACGGTTGACGAAAACCACAATAATAACATATATGTCAATTTGATTCGTGTTCACTTGTCCCACATTTTGCTAAGCATTTATAATTCAGAATGACCACCAATAGTATGTGTAGACTAAGCTCCACGTAGAATTTTTTATGCTGGTACATGCTTAATTGAAATACTTCAAAGTTACTTGCCATTCCGATGTTCCTTAAGCCCATATACAGATCATCTTTATAACTGACAGACATGCTTTTTAAGCATTTCTAGTAAATATGAAGTATTTTCAGTTTTTAGGCTCATATAAGTCCCATGACACCCTGTCCTATAATAACCTATCTCGTTTTGCATGAAGTTTGAAAATACGATGTTTGCATTTGAATAAACTATGCATGGTCGAATAGATTTTTTCATCGCATTTCCATATTATCTCGTCCATTTTTTGAGCAGTCTTAAAAATGTCTTCACGTACCGACAGGATATCATGGTTTACATGTCATGAGCCACCCAACACGTGACAAAAAGATTTGGCTGAAAAGATATAATTTTTTTTAATAATGGACTCATGACATTAACATACTTTAATTTAATGTGGACATGAAATTTGAACTCGGTCGCATTGATATTTTTCGAGAAAGTATGGAAATAGGATTCAGAAAATTGGACCAAAAAAATTCATGAATTTTTTAACAAAGTGTGTAAAACCTGATAATATCATTATTAAAGTAAGTACCACTACAGACCATCACAAAAATCGAATCAGCGGCTCCAAAAATAAAACATAAAAAACGTGATCAACCACCTTAAGGTTAAGGTTGTCTATTTTCTTACAAGATAATATAGTCTGTTCAGATTCGACATTAATCCAACGACGCGCACTGCCAAATAGTTATACTCATACTACCCATAGTAATCAAAGTAACGAAGACATCTAATGATTTCTTTCTAGAAGAGTAACGATTAGTAACTAATTCTCGAAAGTAACAAGTATCAACAATGCTAGCGGACAGCCGACAATCGATTATCGACAACAGACAATAATTAACGCCTGCACTTCACTATCAGCGATGATCGTTGATCGTTCATAATAGGCACGATCATCGTGCAAGCATCCATACACGCGTCCGCAGTAGTTTGTCAACCGACAAGCATGGACGTCGAGTGTGTTGGTGCTGAAACCATTTATTTTCGACGGCGAATGAGTGATCATGTGGACACCTCAACGCAACTGAACGCAACCACCCGGCGAACCTCTTTAATACGGTATTTTTGGAAAAGATCAAGGTCAGGTCTTCCGTTACTTTCAGCAAGTATTCAACAGTGAATTGAATTTGACCTTGACCTTCACTTTTAAGGTTAACTCCTATTAAAAATCCTGCAATCGCAAGATCAGAAAATTTTGCGTTTGAGCACAATTAAAGTCTAATGTCAGCTTGACCACTGAAGGTCAAATGAAGATCAAATGTGTGCTGCTAGGAAAACCTCTATAAATCTTACAGGATTAGCGATGGAAATAGCTATCAAAGTCAAGTTTATTGTAAAATTTAACGAGGAAGTGAACGCTGACCTTTGATTTGACCTTGATCTTCACAGTCAAGGTTATTTCAAAGTCAACATTATTTTTTTATGTAAATCCCTATTTTTGATGCCGGTAATCGAAAGAGCGGAAAATATTATGTTCGAATACGGGTTGAAGACCAAGGTTATTGTGAGCACTAAAGGTCAAATGGAGGTCAAATTTGTGCTGCTAGGAAAACCACTATGAATCTTACAGAATTAGTGATGAAAATAAATATCAGGGTCAGTTCTTTAGTAAATCTTGACGAATGGTCGTGGACTTGACCTTGAACCTCACCTTCACGGTAATTTCAAGATCAACTTAACTTTTTTGATGGAAACCTCTATATCTGGTGGTAGCAAAGAGCGGGAAATTTCACATTCAAATATGTATTAAAATTCAAGATAGATCAAGATAACCATTGGAGGTCAAATACGTGCTGCTTAGAAAACCTCTAAAAATGTCGCAAAGATCGTGACGAAAATAGCTGGTAAGGTCAGGTCTTTAGTAAATGTTTACATGATCTTGGATTTGAACTTAAACCTCACCTTCGAAGTCATTCCAAGAACAACTTTATTTTTCCAAATATAAACGCCTATTTGATGCCGACAATCGATAGAGCCGCAAATTTCATGCTAAAATGTGTATTAGAATTCAAGGTTAATTCTGTTCTAGCGGGTGTCTATTTGAAAAACTATGACCTTGTGATGACCTTGAAGGTGGTGAGGTTCAAGGTCAAACCCAAGATTACTCAGCAAAATTTACTACAGACCTGACCTTGATGTTTATTTTCATCACTAATCCTGTGATATTTATAGAGGTTTTCCAAACAACACACATTTGATCTTCTTTTGTACTTCAGTAGTCATCCTGATCTTGGACTTTGATTGTATTTGAACGTAAAATGTTCTGTTCTTTTGATTGCCGTCATCAAAACTAGGGGTTTCTATTCGCAAAAATGAAGTTGACGGTAAATTAACCTTGAAGGTGGAGGTCAAGTTCACCGTGAATTCCTGGTTGAAAGTTATTGAAGACCTGACCTTGATTTTTTCTAAAAATACCTTACCCGAGAAAATAGAGAGCCGTTCCGGGACTTTTGTGTCACGCTGTGTGACATGTTTATCATCCGTTGGTCTGTCTGTGGTTCCATCTATCCATTAAGCCTTGGGCCGTCTATAACTTGAAAACTGCTGCTTGGATTTGGATAGAATTTTCACACAAGATTACTACTATACAAATGCCGGAAAAGCTTAATAGCTACTCAAAGTCGGACCAGTGTCGGTAGAGCTGGGGATGAAAAACGAAAAAAAAATTATATATATATTTATTCAGAAGACATTAGAAGTGTTATACTCAAAAAAATAATTTCTTCAACTTTTTTTGACAACATAATTACTATATTTAAAGCATGCTGTGAAAACAACGTCAACGTTTTATCGTTCTTTTTGTTTACCTTTGGGGCCGTTCAAGTATTACGTGAGCACTATAGGGGGGCGGGGGATCTTTGCTTTGCTTATTTTGGATGACATGGGTCGTAGGGGGCGAGTCTAGATGATGATTACGTCAACGGTAGTTATTTACTTTTTTACACGAATGGCAACCCTCACATTGTCCTTGCTTGAAAACGAAACGCATTTTCGGGGATTCCCGCAAATAATGCATACGTTTAGTGAACAGCGCGCGGTAATTCCCCTACTCGCTTTCGAACCGATTAGGGGATTTACCGCACGGTGTTCACTTGTCTAAATTTCCTCTATCTGTGTATTGTTTTGTTTGGATAATATAGCGAGTAGACGTATTGTAAGCATAGTAAAGCAAGTTAACATTTGTGTTACCATTGATTCCATTAGCCAAAGTTTAATGTTTAAATAAGATGTCCTTTCACATTAGACAAATCCAAGTTATACGAAAAATTGTTTGAAAGTTTTAAAAAATCTCATACAAGTACGAAAGTACAAAATGTACAAAAGTTAGTTAACGAAGTGTGAAATTACAAATTACTAGCAAAATCCGAGAAGGAACTAGATATTATTGTATCTAAGAGAATCGAAGAAGAATTGCAAGCGGCGACTAAGAATAAATCCAATCTACCTAAATTTTTGAGTACTAGAAATATTAGAAATCGCCAAAAAGTTTCTCTTTACTGATTAGAAAATATTATAGCCTATCTCAAAGTATAGAGGTAATATTCATTATATTATATATATTTATTTCTTATGATTGATTCCGTCAATTGGTCACAAAGAACTCCCTGTATTTTGTGACCGGAACGAATTGCTCGTTTTGTATTTACCATATATATATATATATATATATATTGCCATACTTTGTATTTATGTAGCTTAATAAGAGAATCTTTAGCAGAAGCCATAGAAAATTTTTATTTTTATGCAACCTGCAAACCTGCACAAAAAACACAAATTATACAGTCAGCTTCAAATATTAAAAAAGAGGTAGAAGATAAAATAAAACCCGGTAATGAATCATAACAGCAATGCGAAATTAATGAAAATACAGATAAACAAAGAGCAAAATCTTCTCGGGAAGCTATGAAAAATAGCTACTCGAAAAATATCTGAATGCTTTGTATTCTGCCAGAGATACTATGCCAAGCCGTGCTGAAGTTGATAAACAGATCATTAAGTTGCGCGAGGAAATAAAAGCAGCAAAACAGACTTTAAACAGGAAGGTTCAAAACGCAGTTGCCCAGAAGAAACACAGGGATGGTATGAAAAGAAAGTCGGAAGATATTTGTCATGAAAATCCAGAAATAAAAAATACTATCTCTGAGGAACTCAGTGAACGTCCTAATCTGAAAGCAATCAACATTCACTATTGAAAACAATCGCGGATATAGCTTTATTTGAGAGTGCAGCAGATCATAAAAGACGAACGGAATCAATTCGCAGCGTAAAAACTCTTGATGAACTCACACAAGAATTACGTCACATAGGATTTGACATTAGTCGCAGTGGGACATATCTTCGTTTGATTCCCAGTTCCCAGTTGTTAAGCTCATTCGGGCTCAAACTGATCGCCACAAGAGCCACTTAGATAGCAAGTTCGCTGGAACATCAATCCATTATTTAGAGAACATAGCATCCATACTTGGACCAGATCAAGTATTTTTCATATCTCAAGATGATGAAGCTCGAGTCCCTATTGGCGTAACTGCGGCAAATAAGCAAGCACCTCTTCTAATGCACATGGAATATAGAATCAAATTGCCTGATCACGATTGGGTAATCGCTGAGCATCATAAATTAATACCATCTGTTTATGCTGGTATCGAAATTACTTCCAATATGCTAGGACAACCGCAAGCCGTTGGATATTCTGTACTAACATACATCGCTATTCGAAGTGGAAAGCATAGTTGTTCATCTACTGCTAATACTCATGCTCAGGATTTCGAGACGCTTCTCGAACTTGAATAGTTTCGACCATTTGCTAAAACTGACCATGGACTAGTAAAACCACTGGTAATCATGACGGTTGATGGAGGGCCAGATGAAAATCCACGTTATCAAAAAGTCATAGGGTTTGCTATACAACACTTTAAGCGACATGATCTCGATGCATTGTTTTTAGCTACCAATGCTCCTTGAATAAGTGCGTATAACAGAGTAGAGCGCAGAATGGCTCCTCTTAGTCAGGAACTGGCTGGTTTAATATTGCCTCATGACCATTTTGGGTCTCATTTGGATGAACGTTACGTTACAATTGATGAACATTTAGAAAGATCTAATTTCGAATTTACAGGAAATGTATTAGCTGAAGTATGGAGTTCAATGGAAATTGATGGCTATAATGTTAATGGAAAATATTTTGGAGCAGGTGAACAAGATCTTCCTGATTTTCCAGACATTAAATGGTATTCAGAACATGTGCGTGAGAGCCAATACTTGCTTCAAATTGTAAAATTTAGAAATACAGAATGCTGTCGTTGATGACTTGGATTTGGATGAAGGAGGGCAGTTTCTTCCAGTCAATTTAGCTCTACACTTAAAATTGAGGCTATCAAGTCGAACATGCAAAACGTGTCTTTATCATGCTTTTGTCAAGTCACTAAATCGTCACATCGAAAATATCCATAATAAAGTAAACACGCATACTGATAGGAAAGTTAGACCTGTAAGAGTCGCTGCTCGTCGTGCTAATGAACTGATGTGCATTATTCAAAATGTAGAGCACCATGATGTTGAGTGGCTCGATGAGAACGACGTAGACATTCCAAAATCCGATGAAAGCGAGCAAACTCACAACACTGAGCAGCAATCGAAGCAATCCAATGTCATCATGGATGCGGGTTGCTTGGACTGAAGACTGTTAATTTGAATTTAATATATGTACCAAAAATTTAAAATAAGTTTGTTATGTTAGTAAGATATAATATTTTTGTCCTTTACTCTATGTTGAATACCGTATCAGTAAAATATAATCAGGCAGCAGCGGTGGCCGCAGTAGTAGACTCTTCGGTCTCCTGATCTGTCGCCGTGCGCTGTGCGAGTTCGAGTCCCGTCCCAGGACAAACTTTTCTCTTGGCTATGGATGTTGTGATTGTCCGTAGGTGGTAGATGATCTCTGACTGTCGAACGTGGAGGTACCACCCGGCAGATCTCGTAGGCGGAGCCAGAATGTGTGCATGTTGCACGCATACGTGTTCCCTCGCCAGAGTCCGTGTGGCGTTCCCCCTTTCCCCACGGTGCCCAATGGGTGTTTAGGCCCTAGGCCTTCGTGGTAGTTGGAATATAAAAGAAATCTCTATCTTAAATCTATTTTCTTATTTTTCAAATTATAATTAAAACGTTATAATTGTAATATTAAAAAAAAACAATACATTAATTGACAAATGTTTACGTAAGCATGGGGGGAGAGGGTAAGAGATTTGCTTACTTTTGCTGACAAGGGGGATGGGGGTTAAATAATTGTAATAAATCTGCTTACGTAATACTTGAATGGCCCCTTTGTTAAAATCCTGTTTCTTAGGTTTTGTGAAGAAGCTGAGAGCTGATTAGTGCAGATATTTTTATTATTGCCCTTTCATTTTCTAGTGTTAAGCATAACAAAATGCCTAGAGTTCAAAGACGTCCAAATTATCACCATGTTAGCGACTTTGACAGAGGTAGAACTATTGCCTATCTAGATGTTGGTTTGTCCTATAGCGAGATTGGTGGCCCTGTTAATTGTACTGCAAAGACGACTATGCGTGGATCGTGTGTAGATAGAAGAAGGTAGAAGATAGACGAACACGAAGAAGGCCATATGGTCCGAGGCGAACCACAAATTGTCAAGATAGGGGCTTCAGACAACTAGCCCTACGAGACCGTTTTGCTACTACGCGTCAGATCGCTGACCAATAGTTTGGAGAAGAAGGTAGACCTGTTACTATAGGTAGTACACTCTATCGCCGCATTCGAGCCTTTCTACTTTTTTCATACCGTCCACGGTTAGTGCTTCTTCTCATTACAGATATATGTCGTCAATGTTGAACTGGAGCAGAAAACGGCAACATTGGGTGACAGAATGGCATAATGTCATCTTCAGCGTCGAATCGCGATTCTGTCTAAGTACGCATTGGTCGTAGAAGGGTAAGACGTCGCCCTGGAGAACGACGTGATATTGGATTTGCTGTTGAGATGCAGGTACACAGGACTGTTCGAGTATTGCCTATGGTAGCCAATTACCCCTTCTCTTTGTTCAAGGCAATATAACTGCTGCGCGTTATGTTGATAATGTCCTACAAGCCGCTTTACTACCGTATCTAGAGGGCCGTCCACACGTCCTTTTTCAGCAAGACAACGCACGTCCCCATATGCTCGTCGTACTACGGATTTTCTTCAAGAAGCAGGCGTTAATGTTTTGCCGTGGCCACCCTGTTCACCGGATTTAAATCCCATCGAACATGTGTAGGATATGATGGAGAGGAGACTATCTACTTTGTACCATACGCCACAGACTCTGCCACAGCTAATCCACGGAGTTCCGAGTTGCTTGGGTTGAGGTGCCACAACCAGACTTCGATCATCCCATTTTGTCGCTGCCTAGACGTATACAGGAGTGTATTCAGCTGCGAGGTCGCTCAACACATTATTTTTTTTTCTTATTACTTGTCAATAAAATTTCGTGAGAATGCTTTATATATCGTATCATTACTGATGTAAGACTAGCTCATTGCCAAAATATCAAGTTCAAGAAATTATTTTTTTTCGGTGTAACACTCCTAATTTCACTGAGTATATTTGTATTCAAGAATTGACGTAATTTTTACATCAGCCATTTATTCCATTTTTTGATTTATTTTTCTTATAGTCACTTTCCTCTTCCAAATAAATAATCATATACTCGTACTTAGCGTATGATAACATGATTACAACTAGACCTAGAAATTCAAAGCTTTTCTTGCCTGGGGCCCTCCTTCAGCCTAGAGCTTACAAATTTAAATTGTTTGTTAACTGGATTAAATAAATTATTTTTCTTATTTTCTGTGGCGTAATGTTTTTGTTTCAGATATACAGTTTGCTGGTAGGAGTGTTGCTTCTCTCCTTCTTGTTTGTTTTCATCAATATATTAAGGTATTGACTGCAAGAGCGGTACAGGGAACCACGATGCTACGCAGTATTTAAAGAATTTCTTTTATTATAAAGAATATCCAATATTCACAAAAATAGTCAAATACTGTATGAGATATATAAAGATTTTTCATAAATATGTAGAGTTCAAGTTCGGTTATATATTTGTAAAACTAAAAATACAATTTCAACTGGTTTGACCTTTAATATATTTTGTAACCAGCAACAACTTGTCAGGTATTATTTATCGTGTCTATCCGAAAGTGGTATGAGAACATTGTTGGTTAAAATGGAATCCACGCATTGTGACTGCAAGTTTAAGTATACTCTACTTCACGAGTATCCATCACGTTTTGACGTCTACTGATGTGAACAGAGCTGATCATTTTTGTGTTACCCTGCAACGTTGGTAATAACGAATCGGGTGTACATTTAGTAAAACTTATTCGTAAGGTTTTGTTTTTTGTATGCAAATGAACTTTTCTTAATAAAAGAGCTTTTAGCAAGTGCATAATGAATCTATAGCTTAAAAAAAAGTCCAAAACATAATATGACTCTGTCTACGGATCCATCAGAATTATGTGTCCTTTGCCGATATGGGGAATTTTGAAACATTACTAGATATTACCGCAATGGACACTTTAAGGGCTTGATTCCTTTACCTAGCGACCGCTGAGAGTAGCCAGAACAATGATAATAATAATAATAATAATAATAATAATAATAATAATTAACGTCTTTTATGTGTAATTTTCTTACAGGAGGCGAGATTTAGATTATATATCTATTCTACCATCTAACCCCCTTAACAATACGAGATGTGAAAAAAAAAGAATTTGTTGAAAATTAATAGGCATCTGTATACAATAACTACAGAATAAAGTGTAATCCAAGTAAATACATAAGGAAAATATGAGGACACTTATGGGTTACAACCGATTTCGCTGCTGATCAAGAAGAACTTCTTTCACTTTTTTCTTGAATTTGGATAATGGATTGGTTTCTTTTAAACTGCGGTCTAAAGAACTATATGATTTGATCGCATTGTAAATGTATGTATTCTGAAATAGAGACGTGCAGTGGCGTGGAATTGAAAAAGTATCTCTATATCTAATATTAATACGATGCATAATCCCTCTACGTATGAATTTGTTTACTAAATATGACGGTGTTTTTGAATAAAGAACCTTATGAGTCAGATTTAGGAGCTGGTACTTATACAATTTATCAATTTTCATCCATTTGAGTTCATTAATGGCATTCGATATATGATCATATTTTCTGAGATCATTTACAAGTCCGCAACATGTATTCATAATACTTTGAATACGATTTCTTGTTATAACATCTAAATAGGGATAGTAAACCACTAAGCAATACGATAACTTTGAAAACACGATATATTCACACAATTGCTTTCTCGCAGATTTATGTAATATAGAATTATTTGCAAATAAAACTCTGAGAATAGCGTAGCACTGAGTAATTAGATAGTTCACGTGTGCAACAAATTTTAAGTCATCATCCATTATAATACCTAGGTTTTTCGAATGATCCACAGGAATTAATTTATTACCTTTTAAATGTATGTCTATGTCCTTTTTTAAGGTATTCTTTTTTGTTCTATTTGCGTATACCAACATATTTGTCTTCAAAGAGTTCAAACGAAGATTATGACTTCTACTGAACAATTTGGGCAAGATCTTGATTAATTTTATTATTTGCCGTTTCCAAGTTATTACTCCTAAATGAATAGAAAATTTGAGTATCATCTGCAAAAAATTGCATGCTGCATGATTTTACCTCTGTTTCTAAATCTGAGATATATAATGAAAATAATAGCGGTCCTAAGACTGATCCCTGTGGTACACCAGAACAAATTTTTTGTTCCGTAGAGTACTGTTGATTTAGACGAACTTTTTGATACCGATTTTCAAGGTAGGTTTGAATAAACGAAAGAGGTTTTTCAGAAAATCTATAGTAACTGCATTTAGATACAAGAAGTGAGTGATTAATGGTGTCAAATGCTTTAGTAAAGTCAAGAAGTATGAGAGCTACTGCTTTTTGGTTATCAAGTGCCATTGTTATATTGTCTGTTAAATCACAGAGTGCCGAAGCTGTATTATGACCTTGTCAAAATCCAGATTGTTTAGATGGAATAATTTTGTTAGAATATAAGTAGGCGCAGAGCTGCTCGTAAACAACGCGTTCCAATACTTTAGAGAAAATAACTCAGTAGACTGATCGGTCTCAGTTGACCATAGTTAGTAGGATCAGAACACTTAGGTAGCGGAATAACTATAGCGCGCTTCCACTGATTGGGGAAATATCCCCTCTCTAAACAGCAGTTTATAATATGCGTTAAGTATATAATATTAAGTATATATAATGAAAATAATAGCGGTCCTAAGACTGATCCCTGTGGTACACCAGAACAAATTTTTTGTTCCGTAGAGTACTGTTGATTTAGACGAACTTTTTGATACCGATTGTCAAGGTAGGTTTGAATAAACGATGACATCAAATTTCAATGTTGGGACTTTAACTGGGGTATTCGTTAATCAATGTTGGTAGCTAATAAATTTTGCTCATTTTGATGTTGATATTCTCGCTGGCGACCATTGTGACCGTATTATCAGTGTCTTCCTATCATCAGTTATGGTTATGTCCATAGTTTCCGATTGTTCCCGTGGTTTTCTCAATGTTTTCGATTTGCTGAGCAACTGAATGATTGTCAATGGTTTACAAGAAACATCATTTGGTTGAAGAGAACAAGGCAAATAGGTATGCAGTGACTTTAAGGTAAGATGAATAATCGGAATGAGCCAACCTGAGTAATTTGATGACATTTGCTGTAGTAAAATTTTACTTACTCGGTAAGGCTGTACTTTAGCGCATAAATCCCAAAATTCGTGTTTTTTTTTCGAAAAAAAATTAAAATCAGTAGATATGATCATTTTTTAAGCAAAATAGATGTGAAACCATCATCAGAGACTCGCATGACAAGAATACAAAAGGTACCGGGGTCATTGCATATAAAAATACTCAAATTATGATTATTAATAGATCGTTTAGCCATTATATGGTGTTTCCAGGAAGCACCACGTGCAGGCGATCGATAATAACTCGCCAATCGCTTTAGTCAATCATCAATAATATAATAACAATAATTCACATCATTGGGAATTCGCCTTAAGTAAGGCGATTTTTGCCTTTTTCTAGAAGCATAAAACGCGAAAAATCAAATTCGTGAACGCGACAATGCCTACACCAAAAATATCCGATCCAGAACAAACTTATCGTTGGATTATGGGGATAAGCGGCTCGGCATTCCTCTCTGGCACCTCCACCGTCCTGACACCCTCCCCAATTTTTCAATCATCCCTAGTACCCAGCGGCCTTTTCGCGCGCGACATTTGTTTTATTATATTAGCCGACTAGAACTATCCCTGATTTGGCAACATTGCAACTAGATGGAGAAATTATGATAGTGATGGTGGTGTAGTGATGGGAATATTTATCAGAAATAAAGGAAATGACTACTTAACAATGATCATTAAAATGATGCAAAATTGCATTATTGTGATGAATATTGTCACAAGAAGAAAACCAGCTTATAAAGCAGTATTCTATACCACAGTATTACCACCCAAAATGCAACTTTAAAGTTCTATAAAATAGCAAGCAGAGGCTTCCTCAAAAAAGAAAATGATATTTTCGTACTAGTTACATCCTAACTTTCCATTTTAAAATAAGAAAAGGTATATTTGCGATATGAGCTAAAGTATAGTTCAGCCACATTTTGTAGCTAATATACGAGGATTAAGTTTTGCATATAGAAACATAGTAGGTCGCGCGGATCGAACGTCAGTACTGAATCTTATCCTCACTCTTTAGTAAACTTAAATTCAAAGTTGCACAACAATACGTGCAGTCTTCTCACTGCAGTGAATTTTTAAGTGTCACCAAGTCATTAGAAAAATGGAACTCAACCGAGAACATTTTCGCGCCATAATTTATTACAACTTTCAGAGACAATTTTCGCATCAAGAATGCCTTGCTGAGTTACTGTCTGTTTTCGGCAACGATGCGCCTCATCAGTCGACAATTTTCCGTTGGTATGGAGAATTCGAACTTGAATGGGTGAGTCTTAGCGACGATCCCAGGGTGGGTGCACCAAAAACGGCACTCACCCAGGAAAACGTCGATGCTGTGCGCAAACTCATCATTGAAGGTAGACATGTGACATATCGCGAGATTGAGGCGTCCTTGAAGATCTCAAAGACCTCAATTCAAAAAAATTTACATGAAGAATTATGAGTAAGAAAATTATAGAAAAGTTCCATTCCGCGCAACCACATGTGGACATCAGTTTTTATAAATCGATTGTGTATCATGCGAAAGATTCGCAAAATACATACCGCACTAACTTTCGACGCAATGCTTTCAAATAATTGGCCTTTCATATATAAAGGCAGGTCTGTTACTTTGTTAGTGCATTTGTGTAGTTTAATATGTATGTATTTATGGACTCACTGACGCAGTCGGAGGATGGGGGCCTTGGGGCATGAGGCCCACGAGAACCCTATGGCTTATTAAGTTTTTCCGTATATAATTATACTATACCTTTTGTGAACTGAAAGCCACCCCCGCTCATTGGTTGCCACAAGGGTATCCGCTCTTAGAAGCACCGGTGCACCTGATGCCCCCATCCCTTCGCTCTTCAATTGTAACGGGGACATTCGCTTATGGACTTTTTAATTATTGATACTATCCTCCTCTGCAAATGTCATAATAATTCAATAATCAATGATGAGTAGCTTCGCCCTAAAGCCGACAACCCCCCCCCCTCCCAGAACAAAAACTTATTTCTGGATACCTCAGTGTATGTATAAAGAAGGATGAATCCTACGGATGTGAAGAATTTCAAGTATAGTCAACGCCAAACAAAGTGGCGTGCACGTCATCAAGGTGGGTGTGTTGAAAAATTTACATTGTTGCCAAACTTTTTGTAAAATAATAAAATTTATTATTTACATATCTAGGTTTATAAGCAATATTAACCTCAAATGAGAACAAAAGTAATAGTATAATAAAATTATAGATCTGTACTTGCATAATCATTAAGTATGACAATTATTGATCAGATGACACTATGAAACTACCATATTTAATTGATAGCTTAAAGGTACTGAATAAACATCCAAATGGGGTCCTCCAAATTTTATGCATGGTATTTATTTTACAGAATTCATACAGAAAAATGCATTCTAAAATTAGGTAAGCTACTGGTGTAAGCTTTTTCTGTACAATAAAGTTAGTCGGAGTTTCTTTCTTCAGCGCTGTCTGAATCTGAATCTTCATCACTCTCAAAGTTGATTATTAAAGGTTCGATGTCTGGTCGATCAAAAATTCGTTCTCTTTCATACCATTTAAAAATTTCTTGCTCAGTATGTCGAACACTATTTTTCCACATGTCTGGGGTAACCGTTTGTAGAGCCTCGTTCCACATATCCAAACAGTCTTTTTCACTGTTACCATCTCTACCAATATGTCTGTTATAGTAACCTTTTGCTATGCCCCAAATTAACTCAATAGGGTTAAATATACAATGGTAAGGAGGCAGACGAAGAACTTTGTGCCCATGTTGTTCCGCCAATTCATCAATCACGTATATTTTAGGTGGTTTGTTTCTAAAAAAGCAGTTATTTTAAGAATAGGAATAAACAAAAGAAATATAAACTGTCGACCAAAATATATATAATTAAGAAGCATTATGTACCGAGCAACAATACTCAATAGCTCTGTTTTAAACATTGTGTTTAAAAATGGTATGTTTTGATTTGTCAACCAGTCTTGGATATTTTTTTTTGTCCATGCATTGTTGGGCACTTTGTTCAATATCATGCTGTGATAAGGGGCGTTATCCAGTATAATCATAGATGGACTCTCCAATTTTTCTAATAACTGATGTTGAAACCATTTCAAAAAATTGTCCTGGTTCATCTCTCCATGGTAATCGCTCAATTTTGTTTTCGAAGAAAATATCGCTTCACTACCCTCAATAAACCCATTTTCATTTCCAGCATGTAATATAATGTATCTAAAATATATTAGTTTTAAATTTTATAGTGCAAATTGTGTAAAAGTACATACCTTTTACCATCTGTTTTAATAGCTTTCACGCTTTTTTGGTTTCCATTTTGCCAAGAGCGACCTATGGTCCCATTTTGAAATATCCAAGTTTCATCGAGGAAGACAAACTGGTATAAGGCCTCAACCTTGGCTTGATTGTATTGCCTTAGAAATTCCACCCTTTTCAAAGCTATACTTGGTAGTTCCATGAGCCCTCGTCGCGGATTGTCCTTAAGCCACTTAAATCCAAGATCTCTAAGCAACCGCCTTAAAGACGTGGCACTACCATCAAATAATGCCCTATCTCTTAATCGAGACCATAAAGTTTGTATCGTAACTTGTTCTTCTGAAACCATGTGTAATATGACATTATAATTTAGTTAACAAATTAATGCAAATTTCTGATAAGTTATTATAATAAGATCTTACTTTTGTGATACATATTATAGATCACTTCTCGAATGGCACTTGTATCCAATGTCGCTGTGTTGGTTACACGTTTAATATAACTCCGCTTTTCCTTGGGCGATTCTAAATTTGCATCACTTTTCACACCCTCGGAAATACGACTAACTGTCCTTAAACTAATTTTTAAAGCAGCAGCAACACGTTACAAAAAATGAAATAAAATTTCACTATTATTAATATACATTACATATAATTATTAGTAACCTACCTCTTGAACAGCATTTAAAGGCAACAAAGGCCCGTTGTTGTCCCTTTCTTGCTCAAAGTAGTGCATTAACGAGGCCACGAGTTCCTTACACCGACTATTTAACTGTTTGGGCATCTTTATATACCAAAATTGCCTTTATCTACTCGTAAAATGAATAATTTTGTTTTGAAACAAACAATTGTTGATTTACAGTATGCGGGGCCAAAGGATTTATAAAGATTTGAAATGCCACAAATTGATTCAGTGTCAAAATTAATACAAATGTCAGTTCCCAGTTTAAATAAATTTCAAGGTGACAATGTGTCAACGCTGCGAAATCGGTTTAGTACGTTTACATGTCGATAAGTGATTGGAGCGTTTGCAAAACATTTTATTTCGCATAATGCGTCTAAATTTATCAGAAAGCAACTTATGTGATATTTTAATAACAATGTTTATATGACTATTAACCATAATAAGAGAGTAATGACCATTTTACAATTTATATATCACATTAATATGAAACTGCAATAGAGCAATTGTTTGTGATAGAAACCTAGGCATTAGGTCGGGGAATTTTTATCGTGATGACGTGCACGCCACTTTGTTTGGCGTTGACTATACCTATGTTTGTAAATACTATAAGACAAACTCCACATCAAAAATGTTTTTTTTTAATGTGATCCAAGTCATTAGCCAAGCTTCTGGCAAATCCTGAGGAAGATCAGAGATGGAGCGGTTACTCATTTTAGGAATGTAATATTTGAAGATCGTACCTGTTTGTATCTCCACATCACTCTTTGAACAGTGGAGAGCCACAAAAGGTCAACAGCTGCTGTTGTCAACCCCTGAGGTCCTGAGAATTATCAGAAGCTCAGGGATTACTTCTGATCTAACCAAGAGGCACAGCTCTGAAGGATATTTGCAGAACATAACATTTGTAAGTTTTTATATGACTCAATAACTAGTGATGATTTGTACTGCTTTTTGACCAAGTTCGTTTTCATACTTCGTTTTAAATTGTCAGAGCAGTAGGGTTGATATGTAAAGCTCACTATAATTTTAATGAAATCAAAGCCAAGTATTGTTATTGAACAATAGCATGGGTGCCCCCAGGGGGGCTGAGGTAAAAGTTATCTCTTGATGATGATCAGCACATCTGAGAAAACTCCCTGTGGGTAGCCGTGGACAATCATATTATTGTTCTAATAAAAAAAAGAAATCTGTGAATTGTAGTACCATATCAACACAATTCAATTTTTTTCTAATTTTTTATTTAGGTGCCAACGAAAGCTAGGGAATGGAAACATCTGGACCATAATGATGTCAATACTGATTTGTTTGTGGAAAAATGTATGAGATTTATATAACAAATATGTATTTAGGTATTTACAGTATATGTTTTTCTTTGTACCTTTCCAGATTAGTAAGTAGATATGACTGATCTTATAACAGCTTGTGTTATTGACGTTGCTATTTTAACATACAAAAAAAGCATTTATTCGTCAAGATAGCGCAGAATGTTAACAAGACATGCTGTTATAAGATCTCCCATATCCCAACAAATTTCTATATATAAAAGTATAGCAATCTCAGATTTATGTGTAGAACTGGCGACGTTGCGGGATATTAATGCACAATCTAGCAACCATGTCACACCCTCAAAAAATGGCCGTTGACAACCATTCAAGTCACCGTGATGCCATTGATTAGCATGGAATTAAACCGTCTTCAGCGTATATGTTTTGTGAGTGTCTGTGTTCTATTCCGTGGTTTCAAATTGTTGTTTGAAAGTGTATTGTTTTGTGGTTTCAAAGCCCTACCAAGGTACACGTGGAGTCAACTGAGGCATGACAAGGCGCAATACAGGAAATCTGGCAACGTTTTTCGTGGTGACAAAACGTCCGGCAACAAAAACAAGCCAGAAATGGACACGACAAAGGCTGGGGAATGCAAACATCTGGACCATAATGATGTTAATACTGATTTTTTGTAGGTTTAGGCACGTATCGTCAGTCGTCCCTACAATTGTAGGGCGCGTTTATGGCCTCCTTGATTGTCATACTCCTTTCTCTCCTTCCAAAATTTCTAGATTGCACCCGTCCCGTGTCAGCGTCAGCGCTCTCCTATTGTGAAGATATATTTTCTTTTTAAATTGTAGGAAATTTCAGGCTGATAAAACATGATATAACTCAAAAGCAAGCACAATTTGATGCAAATAGATGTTTGTGACATAACCTCAAAATAGAGCGCTGACACGGAGAAGTAGAAAACTATGACAATCAAGGAGGCCATAAAGGCGCCCTACAATTGTAGGGACGACTGACGATACGGGCCTTAGGTATTTGCAGTATAGGTTTTTTTTCTGAACCTTTCCAGATTAGTAAGTAGATAGGAGTGATCTTATAACAGCTTGTGTTATTGATGTTGCTATTTTAACATACAAAAAAATCATTTATTCGTCAAGATAGCGCAAAATGTTAATAACACATGCTGTTATAAGATCTCCCATATCCCACCAAATTTCTATGTATATATAAAAGTATAGCAATCCCAGATTTATATGTAAAGCTGGCAACGTTGCGGGATATTAATGCACAATCTGGCATTCATGTTGCACCCTCAAAAAATGGCCGCTGACAACCATTCAAGTCACCGTGTTGCCATTGAATAGCAAGCATGGAATTTTGGAATTAAACCTTCTTCGGTGTATATGTTTTGTGAAGTTTAGTAGAAGTTAAAGGTATCAATTTTTTTTAATCGGTTCATCGTTTTTTTCTCTTTAATAAGGTATTGTATTAATCCTGTACATCTATACAAGAGTAAAGCAGAATTTTAACGCTTGAATCAGGGTTGTTAACAAACCCACCTCTTGTGTTGATCATGGACGCTGGAGACATCATGAAGATAGAAGTTGGATTCCAGGCAGTAGAAGCCGACACCAAGCTATTTGAAGTTGATAACGTCTCTTGGAAATTGCATTTTAAATGCAATGACAATGAAAACATAAAACATTCAGTTGTGGAAAGGTAAGGGATTCTAATTCATTTTCTGGATATTTTTTATCATATATCCTATATTTAAAGGGCGCTTACTTTCAAGCAGTACTTCTGGATGTGACTTCCAGATCCAGAAAATATATTTCACATAAACATCAAACTTTAGACTGATGTAGATGAACTAGCATATCGTTTTTCCAAATTTGGCCTGCCTTCTATTTTCTTCTTGTGTCATTAAATACAAAAACACAGCAAAAAGAGAAAGGATGTCATGAAAAATGATTCTCTAAATCCATTTATTTTATCAAATAAATAGTCCAAAAATGAAAAAAAAAATAGGTGCTGTTTACCGAGAAGTATTACAAAATTGCACAGAATAAAGTAAGGTTTGGTGCAAAAATGCTATCACAGTGGTCAACCACTACAGCTAATTGTGCATCTGTCGAAACCTGTTGTCTTGTTTACTTTCCAGTTACTGCTCCATGGCAATCGTGCAGTGCCCTTTAGGTCAGTTAAAAAAAGTTAGGAAGCAATCTATTACAATCTTCTAAGAGAATTACTATGATTCTACTTGGAACCATGGCTATTGTGATGGAAATTGTGTGTGAACGTTCAGATACAGCATAGGGTTGGATATCATCTTGGGGAAAAAAGCTGTCAATGCTATAACTCTCTATTTTACTTGCTCTTTAATCAGTTGGAAATATTTCAGGACTGCAATATGTTTGTGGATAACTAAGGAGCACAATTATGCTAAGGCTTGGATTAAAAGCGAGGCAGATGATGAACTGAAAGTTGAAAGCTGGGTTGATGATAGCGGGAAATATCCAGTTGTGGAAATTTCAGAGGAATTTATCATCAAAAGTGAGTGCAATAATGATGATACATTGTTAAGTACAAATGCAGGAACAGTTCCTAATAGGTAACTATTTTTTGTCAGTTTGTTTTTTACCTCCAAGCAACTGGTGAGGAAGTAATTTTTTACATAAAGTATCAAAAATGTCACTTATTTTCATTGATCTGTCTGTTTACTTATCCTGGGCCCTCTAATAACTTAAAAAGTTCCTGTTGGATTCTGGTGAAATTTTGAAACAAGGTTTTTCACTATAAATCTGTTTTTGTTGAGAATCTGGTGTTTCTGAGGATGATTATATTGTATTTATTTTAGAAGCAGTAGTGAATATAGTGATGATAATCGCCAAAATTTTACCCCTACTGAAGTTGATGGCAAAATAAGGGAGCTGACAGTCAAAACTGAGAGGATGGATACAGAAATTCTTAAAAATATGGAATATTCTTCTCAAAATACAGACACTCATCACTTTGATGAAAAAGCAAAAGCAGTTCTTCCATTTAAAAGGTAATTAAAGTTTGTTATTTATGTTGAGTTGATATAATATTTATGCTCATTTTTGCTTTTGAGAAAAAATTTTATTTACCTTCCTTGCACTTACATGCCACCCACTGCATAAACTAAAGTATAAAATAAAACTGGTTGATGCTATATTTTCTCCAAAAAAAACTATATTAAACAATATTTTATTCAATTTGTGGATAGTTTATATAAGATATGCGTTTAGGTTTGTAATTGGCAAAATGTGTAAATATGGAAGAATTTGTAAAAATGAAAAAATATGTTATGTACCTAGTTTGTGAAGTGTAGTAGTTCTACTGCAAAATATTTGATTTTACATCACAATCCCCAATTGCATATTCAACACTTGGAACATTTTACCAGATGGTGTGATTAATGCTACATCAGTCAATAGATTCAAAGTGTATTTCTGGGGAAAATCTTTTTAAGAGAAAGTCTGACAAAATTTTGTTTTCTTCTATAAACTGCATAAATTGGTTGTGTACTATGGATTCCAATAATTTTTCAATATCTGGTAACACATTTATTGGTCTCAGGTTGCAGCATTTTTTGGAATTGAACTAATTTATCTTGCGAACTGGCGTTATTGTAGAGCTTTTCAAAATTTTGGGCAAAGAACTTCTTCTCAATGAACAATCAATCCAATTCCAAAACTGTTTTACAGGTTGTGTTTAGTAATGATATTGGTACTGTTGCAGTTGGATTTTAAACTGCTTATTTCTTCTGAGAAACCTCAATGATTACATTTCTGTTTCCGAGAGGTATTAAAAAACATACTGTTGAATTTGAAATTTTTTAAAAGGTTCAAAACAGAGCGACACGTCAAAAAAAACGCTATCTAGTGGCCACAAAGTGAACTAATTTGACAGCGCAAGCAGAAGCTCTTCCGAACGTAACCAAGATCGTGAAAATGGGTGCTGATAAATAGAAGTAACATTTCATTTTCTGAAGTGACATTCAACCATTTCCTTACCCTAGACGAAACGAAATATGGAAAAATGACGTTGAGAGGGAAGTTCAAAGATGTTCGGTCAACATGTAGGTTCAATCAATTGGGCAGGAATACCTAATAGATATAATTAGGTCTCCAACATTTAGAAGAATTTGTCGTTTTTATGTGTTTTTTATGTATTGTATGCATTGGATCTTAAAATATGCATACGCAAGAATAATTATTTTTACCTACGCCAATGAAACCAGAACAAAGACCTTATATGAGTTATTCTCGTATTCCACACATTGTGCATTTAAATTTGGCATTATATTTCCCTGTAATGCGCTTAATCTGTTGAGCAATTATGTATAAATAAATATATAAACTCACAATTTTATTAGCCGTGCGAGAATTATTTTGAGAAGAAATTGTAGCTGAGGCATGCAACAAAAATATAGGATGTGGGCAGCCTAACATTTCAGAAATACGATGGGTTTTATTGACCACGTACTTGAGAAACATCTTGGCGTTGAAATCAAAATCGTTCTAAATAAAATCCTAATTGAAAATATAAAACCCCGGATTTCAGATTGCAGTATTCAAATCTTTTGCACCAAATTTTAGTTAGATGATATTTTGGTAACATAAATTGCTTATTTCTTGTAAATTGTGTCCACAGTATTTATCTATTACATTTTCCCAATTTCAAGCCTAGACTTCGAGATATCTGAACTCTTTTCCGAATTGACTATAGTTATATTTTTTCAGGGCTTCGAATCAAGATTGGATGAAACAGCATCCTGTAGTTGACAAAAAAACAATCTCTGAGTCATTTTTTTGTCATAATTGTAATTATTCTGCTAGATCTAAGTATCTTCTGATTAGTCATATGAAAGAGCATAACATGTGCATGTGCATGTCGATTTCTAGTACAATTCATAAATGCTCATATTGCAAATACAAAACAATACATAACAGTAGACCTGGTAAATACATGTTGAAACATCCTGAGTACACATGTGCTTATAAAACAACCTTCAAGGGTTGTTTTGTGGGACATATGCTAAAACATTCAGAGACAGGAAATAACTATAAATTCACCATATGTATTCACTGTAAGGCAAAATTCAGAGGTAAAACTGAATTGAATGATCATATAATCAAGAAACATTCTGACTTTATTGCATCTGTTTCTAGTAAAATATATGAATGTACACTTTGCGCATATAAAACAACCTTAAAGACTCGTTTTGGTAGACATATGCTAAAACATCCAGAGACAGCAAGAAACTATAAATTCCGCATATGTATTCACTGTAAGGCAAAATTCAGAGATAAAACGCGACTGAATGATCATATAATCAAGAAACATCCTGGCTTCATTGCATCTGTTTCTAGTAAAATATATGAATGTACACATTGCACTTATAAAACAACTGTCAAGTGCATTTTTGTTAGACATATGCTGAAACATTCAGAGACAGGAAATAACTATAAATTCAGAATATGTATTCACTGTAAGGCAAAATTCAGAGATAATACGCACCTGAATGATCATATAATCAAGAAACATCCTGGCTTCATTGCATCCATTTCTAGTAAAATATATGAATGTACACATTGCACTTATAAAACAACCTTCAAGGGCATTTTTGTTAGACATATGCTGAAACATTCAGAGACAGGGAATAACTATAAATTCAGCATATGTATTCACTGTAAGGCAAAATTCAGAGATAAAACGCAACTGAATGATCATATAATCAAGAAACATGCTGACTTTATTGCATCCATTTCTAGTAAAATATATGAATGTACACATTGCACTTATAAAACAACTTACAAGGGCAGTTTTTTTAGTCATATGCCAAAGCATCCAGAGACAGCAAGTAATTATAAATTCAGCATTTGTACTCACTGTAAGGCAAAATTCAGGAATAAAACGACACTGAATGATCATATAATCAGGATACATCCTGACTTTATTGCATCCGTTTCCAGCAAAATACTTGAATGTACACATTGCACTTATAAAACAACCTCCAATAGTACTTTTGCTAGACATATGTTGATACACTCAGTCCAGTAGAGTAAAATTCCAAAATGGAGTGATAATAAAGAAACATAATATGGTAACCATACCAATATAACAATAATAATTATAATAATAAATAATCTTTATTTCAAAATAACAGTGCGCAATTACAACGTAATGTCCGCTGTCAGGTAAAATATACGTCACATAATGCCATAATAGCAAACAAAAATAGTGTCTAAATATTACGATATTACATAATGTTTGTTTCACATTTCTAGATATTCATCGCGACCATATGGCCCTAGATTCATTAGTAACTTGTGAGTACATTTCTTGAACTCTTTTATATTCGACAACTTTTTAACTTCCTGGGGCAACTTATTGTAAAGCTCTGCACAACTGTAATGTACGTTTTTTCGGTAACAGCTAGATGATGAATTGGGTACAAAAGAGTTATATCTCTGTTCCTTGTATTGTAATTGCCCGAGATTCTTATAAAGTACCCAATATTTTTAAATGTAAAAATCAATATTTCTTGAATATATATTGCCACTATGGTGAGTATTTTATTCCCTTTAAATTTTCCTCTATATGTTTCTCTTCGCGGAACTTTTAACATGCATCTCAATGCTCGTTTCTGTACCCGAAAGAGCCTGTTTATCTAGCTACTATGTCCGTAAAAAATATACCAAAACGTGCAATGACGTGCAATGGAATCAAAGTTGGCATGGTAAACAATTTTTAGGGTCTTAAGGTCTAGGTACCTACTTAATATCCTAATACTATAACAAGTGCTATTTAACCGTTTCTCTAGATGTTCTACATGTGTAGCCCAAGAAAGTCCTTGGTCAATATACACTCCTAAGAATCTACCAGAGTCTGTCAGCTCGACTTCTACCCTATCAGCTAAGTGGATCTTCGTAGCTAGATTTTTTTCTTTAATTTGAATACCGCATTTGTTTTTGATGTGTTCAAAGATGGACCGTTGCGAGCAAACCACCAAAATGCTTTCTCGCATATACTCAATGTATTTTCGGCTACTTGGTTGAAATCTTGGCCAGCTAAAATCACACTAGTATCATCTGCATAAATTATTCGGGTTGCTATACTATCACTCAGATCATTTACAAACATCTACAAAGAGGAGAGGACCCAAGACGCTTCCTTGTGGGATACCTCTATCTACTGTTAACTGCGATGAGACAGCTGTCATGCCATTCTTTATGATGGAAACACTTTGTTGGCGGTCTGTTAAATAACACTTGACCCAGTTCCAGGCATTTCCCCTTATCCCAGATTGCTCAAGTTTACTCAGTAAGAGAGAATGTTCTACACAATCATATGCTTTGGAAAGATCAATTAACAAACCCAATGATATCTTATTATTTTCCAGACATTCTACAATACTGTGGCTAAAGGAGTATATAGCCGTATTTATCGATTTCCCTTTTATAAAGCCATGCTGTGATTCAGCAATTAAGTTATTACAGAGCATGTGATACATAATTCGTGAATACATTACCAGTTCGAAAAGCTCTGCAAAGCACGAAAGTAGGCTTATTGGTCTATAGTTTACCAAGTCATTAGGGTCTCCTTTCTTATATACAGGGAGGATTATGGCTAATTTCAGATTTTCAGGAAAAATACCATAAAATACCAAGTGAATTATTTATTATGTAAACTAGGGGTTCAAGAATCACTTTCAAAGAATATTTCAGAATACAAGTTACGTTTATAAAACAACCAGAAGATGTCATATTCTTAGTTCCGAAGATCTCCAACATCAATTTCCTGCAGTTCAATGCAGTTTTACGAAAAACCTTCCTAATTCGTCCGGATCATAGATTTTCGTCTCCGGATCAAGTAGAAAAATACGTTTTTGTCGCTGAATGATGATTTTATAATGGCCTGTGTTATATACATGTTGCTGCTTCAACAGATAAGTGGCCTTGAAGAACGTATTCGGGAATAGCGTGTGAAAATTTGTTATTAATCAACTAACATCTATCACAAATATTTATTGCTTAAACATTCACAGGCAAAATAAAACTATAAAAGATAACAAAGAACACATACATAACTCAACAATATGAGTTGTTGTGTAATTTTATTAACACATAAATTATCCTCATTTAAAATAGGAAACAAAAAATAAACTTTAAAACATGCATAAAACCATAAAAATGGAAAATTATAAAAATATGAATAAGAACCACGAGTTTCAACCGAGAAGTTCAGAGCAAGCCAAACTGATGTACCCTCAAATTCATCAAAGGTAACATCTAAATTATGTTGTGTCGAAATTGAACTACAATATAGATTTGATGAGGTCATCATTCTGTCTGTTGGCTCAAAATCAACACAACCCCTTTCCCATTGTGCAACCCGCGTAATACTAGGCAACCCATAATACAGAGCGGGGTACGCACGTTTCTCTACGAAGCGGCAACAATGGCAGCTGCTTGCTGGTGTTAATTGAACGTAGTTGTTAGATTGATTCAAAATCTGTGAGTAAAAAAAGCTCATTCGCAAAATTATCGTACATTCAGCTATTATCCTACACATACTATCGTACAGTACTTGAAATTATCGTACAAAAACGATAATTATCGTACGTCTGGCAACGCTGGGCATCCAGAAAAAAATGGCGGTTCTCACTGACATAAATCTACCGTATTGCCCTATGTTGACAATGACATAAATCTACCTTTGTTGCCCTATGGATAGCACGGGACTGAACCTTGCTCAGCTTTGTGTTCCAAGTGTTTATCACAAAACCCATAAGTCTGAAGAACTAGGAGCTGCACGTTAAACAATGGCAACACCGTTGACGTTTTGTCAGAGGGTTGCGCCCAGTGTTGTCAGTTCTACTGAATTTTCAGTAGGTCTACTGATTTGTATATTGATCTACTGAAACATTTTTGTAAACTACTGAAAAAATTATGATGCCTAATTAATGTTATTATTGTTAATTTTTAATCCATAACCTACACCTTGCGTAATATTGTCGAAGAATCAGTTTAAATACGGTCATCAATGATGACCCTAAATAAATTCGAAAGCGTCTTAGCGCTTGATATTATGTTGGTAATACTTTACAGCCCAGACTACTGATGTAAATATTCGGAATATTTTGCTAACCGGTTAGACGGAAACGGATGAATAGAATATGAATCTTCCATGGATGAATCATCCGTAATAATAATACGAATCATGGCATCATCCATAACAGCAGTGGTTTTATGCGACCTGGCAACACGGACCGTATTCCTACATCACTGGACCAGACCACGGCCACGGGGAATCACCGGTTATTAATGCGTAAACGACTACGGGGACCAGGATTTCCCAGCTCTGCGCGACAATGCGAGAGTTTTGGTTTTTTCATTGTTTTCACCTTCACAATTCGGTTTGATCTCGTATCCAGTGGTTTTGTTGAATTTTTTATCCTTTCGTATAAGCGCACGTACAAAAATGAGGTAAGTTCACTTTTATTCGTTAATATTGAATTCTAAAGATGTAATGAGTACCATAACTCTGAAAATGAAGGGGCTGGTCCCTCAAAGAAAAAAAAAATTAAATATAATCAAGTATTTAAGAAAAGCTGGACCGAAGAGGAGCAATTTAAAAAGTGGATCAGGGAAAAGATGAATACTTTGCTATGTGCCGCGTGTGCAATAAAGATATTTCTATTAAAAATACTGGCAGATTAGCACTAGTTCGGCATCAGGATAGTGCGATGCACATTAAACTATGCAAATCTCAGAAAAGCAGAGAACATTAACAGAGAACATTAAAGGAGGCCCAAATCAGGAAACCATATTAAAAACGGCAGACTTACATCTCGCAGCTTTTGTCACTGAGCACAATTTGTCATATAATGTGATGGAGCATTTACCTGCTGTAATAACCAAACTGGCGCTTGATTCAGAAATAGCAAAGAAAATTAAATGTAGTCGGACTAAATGCTCTTGTGTTATTAAGAATGTTATTGGCAAGAGGCATGAGGAGGAAATCTGTGAAATTTTAACTTTTTAACTTGATATTTTCATTAATTATTGATGAATCCACAGACCGTTCATGCACAAAACATTTGTGTCTTGTTTGTAGAGATACCGTCATGATAATACGTGAGTTCATAATATGATAATATATAAATTTTTAAGTTATAAAAATATTTTTTCCTTCTAGAATCCAAGACAGTTTCCTTGCATTAATGCCAATCAAAGAAGCTAGAGCTGAAGATCTGTATAAAGAAATTACCAACTTTTTTAGCCTGAAGAAAATACCGTATCATCGAAATCTAATTGGATTCGCATCTGATGGGGCGAACGTTATGGTTGGAAAACACAATTCAGTAGTATCTAGGTTTAAGGTAGATATACCAAATGTTTATGTTGTTAAGTGTATTTGTCACAGCTTTCATCTATGTGCGTCATATGCTTGTTTAGAATTACCTAGGGGGATTGAAGATTTGGCCGTGAAATATATACTTATTCCTCAAATAGTCCAAAAACAGTCGAAACTTTTAAAGAATTTCAAACTTTTGCCCAAACACGAATACATAAAATGTTACATCCGGCCCAGACAAGATGGCTATCTTTAGAAGCTGTAGTCTCTAGAATTTTAGAGCAATATAATGCCTTAATTTTATTCTTTACAGATGCCTCTGTAACTGATCGAACTTTAACACCAGAAAATATACTAACAAAGTTGAATGATCGCTTCACAAAATTGATTTCAAAGATCCTACTAATTTTCTTCCCTTAGAAAAATTGTATTTAGGAGCCAAACTTCGAGTCTCAATTGAGTCATTGGGTGACTCCCACAAGTCTACTTTTAGGAAAAGATGTCTAAGAGTTTTATGTAGAGGCCGCAAACCAAATAAATCAAAGGTTTGACTTCAATGACCCCATTTTAATTAATATGAATTTAATATTTTGGACAAGAAAGCTGACAGTATCATGCCACTTATGAAACATTTTCCAAACTTTGTTTCGGAGAATTAATTTCAACTGGTATATAATGAATGGCGATTACTTCGAAATACGGATTTAAATTTCAGTTGTGATTTAGATGTAGAAACATTCTGGTCAAAAATTGAAAGTATGCGCTACGGCGACGGAACTTCCATGTTTTAAGTTGATTTGTTTTCAATTTGTTAATTTTACCTTCATTCATCGGCAAATGTAGAAAGAGTTTTTTCTGCGGTAAATCTAATGAAAACTAATCAAACAAATAAACTTTCAACTATTGTGGGTCGTCTACACACAAACAATTATTTAAAGTCTAGAAAAGTAAATTGTACAAACGTTACATTCACAAAAGAAGTAATAAATTTACATAATAATATGTATAAACCAAAAAAGTGCAATACTTCATCAGATTCTGAATTCATTCTATTTTTTTTATATGTACCTCTAGTTTCTTACGTTTCATTTTTTACTTGTTTTGTATTTTTGGAGTTGTTTATTATTTTTACTATTTACTGCTGTTTTTTTATGTAATCGTGTCTGATGAGTATATCCTAAGTAACTTTATTTTGTGATAAGTTTTTTTTAAATTAAGAATTAGGTATAAGTTAAAATGTTTGTTTTGTGTACATATTCCTATATGTTGTTAAGCACACAAATTTTCTTTATTTATAAAAAATACATATTTTTTCGAGTTCATAGGTCTTTTTATCACCCTTTCCTAAAATTTGCATAAAATATATATCTACTGAATTTTTTTTAACCCATTTACTGATGAAATGAATATCGAACTGGCAACACTGGTTGCGCTGCCTACTTGCCTGGAGATCTGGAGGGATTATCGAAAGAAAGCCGTAAAGCCGAGAATGCGGGTGGAATAATGAATGTACCGGGCTGTCGGGGATTTCGTTTCATCATAATTTGAAATCTGCTGAAAATGATATTTCCGATATTGAAGGATTATTTCATGAACATATATTCAAAAAAAATACCAATAAGGGTATTAGCTCTTTCAGCAATTTTACTGAGAAAAAGGTTCAGCATAATAAAATCCAACCCTAATAATTATGAAGCACCAAATTTATTCAGTTTCAAAAAATATTCATATGCTGTTGACAATGGTATAGAAATTGTGTTACATGAAAATATAGATAGATTTATTTCAAATTCATGTTGAGTGTTGTAAAACACAAGTGTCTCGCTTCAATGTACCGCTCCTTGATAATTCTGAAACAATACAGAAAACACTAATGTAATTCATAATTCTTTGTGAATAAGCTAGTCACTTGCTATTTTATGCTCATTTTTTACGAAATATCTCCAAAAGCATCAGCGTTGATAATCTCGATATTAACCAAAACAAACGCCATATTTGATATTTTTACATTCAGAAATACAGGTAAAGATAGAGAATCCTGGCAGTGTTGCCAGGTTTTCAGTCACGTTGGTCGTCAAGTTTTGATGAGAAAATCGCCCATCCAAATTAACTAGGAGTCTAACCATAAAACTCCAGGTTAGAGATTGGAATGGATTTGTCGCCCGGGGAGGTGAATTAGTGACTGGCTTGAGCACCTAAGTAGCCTGCCTGTTGACGATAACTAAAGAGCGAAGTTGAGGTGGGGTTAGGCATATAATACTCCAAGAATTCATTGAAAAGCGGGAGGTGGGGAAGGGGAGTTTGTTAGACATGTGTATTATTAACGAAACTTCGTTCACAGGGGCGGATCCAGAGGGACATTTTGAGGTGCCGGAACTTCTGGCGAATATTCTTGTGATATTGTGACAATGAGAAAACGGAGGAGGGTTACAGACTAATGAAAATTGAAGAACGGGGAGACTATAATTTTCTGCGTATTTACCTTTCGCCAGGGATCTTTTTTTGGGGTGGGGGGGTTCTCTGTCTCTTTTCCTGGTTATCGTACAAAAATTGTAATAATCGTACATCAAGCAACAATGTGTCAAAGCTGTTAGAATGGGATGTCGTTGATATGCTCGAAACACGACACCATGACATGACATTTGACCATAAGAGTCTTTGTGCGTAGAGAACAGAAATTCCGGTGATCCTAGTTTCATGTTTCATTGATCTCCACCGAAAACGAAATTTGTCTGACGGCTTAAGTTCAATGTGGTCGAAGTGTATATCGACACATACGCTTGAAAGAGATAGAGCCGTCTGGATAGCGAAGCTCATCACCGCATTGCCTATCAACGCTGACGTGACAATCTGCCTCGTTGCCATTATATTACACCAGTTCCTTGAATTGAGGTGCATGTTGAAAACATGGGTTAGTTTACTCTCTACGCCCAAATAATGGTTTTATTTTGAGCTTACACATTTTTTGATTGTGAATTGTGTCGAATCCGTTTAGGATCGATTCCGGATCGGCCCTAATAGCGCTGCATTTTAGGTCGGAATAAAAGGTCAGTATCGTCATGAATCCTGCAACATTGCATCATTGGTTCGTTTGATAACACCGTTCTTGTACATTCCAAGGCAAGGTTTCCACCTCCATGATCATAGATGAGCGATTTTGGTCAGTACCCATCTAGCGCTAATTGGGGAGTGTCGCCCTGCTTCAAATAGATCTTCTTCTTGGGTTTGACAGTAACCTAACCTATTGTAGAAGCCTGTGCGAACATTTTCTGGTGTAATATTTCGGCAACGCGGAATCTTGCACGAGCTTCTACGTCACCGTTGCTAGGCAATGTGGTGATGACCTTCGCTCTTCAGCCGGCTTCTATTTCTTTCTAACATGTCTACATACACACTACCTGCGCTTCTCTCTCGTACATATTAAACTCAAGCCATCAGACAAATTTGGTTTTCCCTGTATACACATATCAGCAAAAATTGATTACAAATTAATTGGCGTCAGAAATGTTGCCATTAAAGTAGCCGATCGCCAAGCTATCCATTTGAAGCCGTCAAATCGCCACTTTGGCAAAAAATCGGCACGCCTGACAATCCTGAATCTCGACAAGCACACGTCACGAGATGCCGGTAATACAGTTACCTCGATTTTGCCAGGAGAGGAGAGGATAACCTTGGTGTTGCCAGTTCGTCCATATGTATTTGTGTTGTGTCTTGTGCTTGTTTTGTGCTCTTTAGGTTAATAAAACGATAATATGTCAAGGAAAATCATGAAGAAATAAAAATCAACATGGTAAAGCTGTCCACAGTGATTTTATCTGAAATTAAACAAAAGACGACGCGGAGGTATCTCCGTGAAGGTTTTAAGGATACGTTACGAATTTTTGTACAAGGCGGTGCAGGAGGCAATGGTTTACCAAAGTATGTCCTTAAAGCGTCTTGTTCCTGTAGTGCTAATATACGTAATTCTTTCAGATTTGGTGGTGTTGGTGGTAAAGGAGCTAACGTAGTAGCAGTGGCTAAAGAAAATTTAACACTTGAACAAGTTTATAAAGCTAATCGCAGCAAAAGATATATTGCGGCTTCAGGGCGACATTCTACACACAATTTCATATTGGGAACTCCAGGAGAAGATCTGAAGGTTGAAGTTCCAGTTGGTGTGACACTTGTTACAGATTTTGGAAAGAAACTCGGAGAATTAAATGAGGAAAATGAAGAATTGGTATTGGCAAAAGGGGGCCCTGGAGGACATCCAAAAAATGGATTCTTAGGTGTTAAAGGAGAAGCTTATCCTGTGAAGTTAGATCTAAAATTGATAGCTGATATTGGGCTAGTAGGATTTCCAAATGCTGGGAAAAGTACTTTATTAAAGGCTATATCACATGCTAAACCTAGGATTGCTGCCTATCCTTGTAAGTTTATATCATTTTACGAATTATAGTTTATCTTGATCTTGCTTTATTAACAACTTCCTATATTAACTCTTTTATTTGTTCATAAAAATAAGTGAAATAATGATTTGTCACTAGATGCCCTCTTATGTAAAAGTTTCAAAGTGCCCAGTCACTATGCAAGAAGAAGTAGTAAATAGATCCTTGTTTATTATGGTCAAATAATGGATATTTAAATGTCTTTGAAATTACTCATTATTTTTCAACTTTAACACTTATATTAAGTTTAAGCTAAATTGATGAGCACATTTCCAGAGGCTTTTGTGTTGTTATAGGAAACTTGCTATGTAATATCAATAATAACTGAATTCAGTTCTCATGAGATATTTCTAGAATTTGCATGTACAGATACACAAAAAGACATGGGTGATTATATGGTATTTGGGTTTTCAGTGTCAACTAAGAATACTAGCTTATTTTGCTTTCACATTCATTTTGTCTCAAGACTATACAGTGTGACACAAAAGTCATTTCTCAGGTAAGGTAGTTTTGGAAAAGATCAAGGTCAGGTCTTCAGTAACTTTGATTTGACCTTAACCTTCTACTTCCAGGCTCATGACAGGTTGAATATGATGGCCCCTCGAGTGCGATGATCACATAATTGCCCATCCTAAATTGTAGGAGTTCCCTTATCACCCCTCCTTTCTCTCTAACCCTTTATGCCACTTGTCTCCAAATTATCATACCACCCATTCCACTCGTCCTCACACACGTGTACGGTTCTTGCATAAGAACCAATTCCCAACCCCAATCATATGCTGTTTTTCTCATTAGACCATTAGCATGTCTCCCCCTCCACAGGTTAATCTGAAGGATTTTAACTGTAATCTACCGGAGTTCTCATATGCCTATGCGGCTGAAGTTCCGATCAATCACG